GAAAGACTAAGATAATTAAATAGTAGAAAATTTTTAAGATGATATTAAACAGAGAAATTAATTTAGTGTCTTGGATTATAACAATATATACTCCAGTGTGGGGTTTTTTTTTAATTTTTAAAGATTTGATAACATTTAAGTAGATACTATTAGATTTTTAAAAACTAACTAGCCCTTGAGTCTGCCTGCCAATTTCTGTTTTCTACCAATGATCCTTTCCTATTTTCAGATGTTTTCCAGTGTTGCTCTCTGAAAGACCCAAATAAAAACCAGAAAGTAAATCCCTATTTTGAAAGCATTTGATTTCTTAGGACTACCCACATGTGAAAAGTCATTCATGCACTTAATGCATTTGCATCTAACCTACATTTGAACTTGCTGTCAACTACACAAAATCAACCAGTTCAAAAAATGAGACAAAAAAATTTTCTTTCCTTTCAGCTACAGTATTCAAAATTGTTACTTGAAATACAAAGGATACAATATCTCATGTAGAAATACAATTTTTCTACCGAGTCCTTTACCTAAACAAGGGCTGTCCAACTGGCAGCCTACAAAAGGTTAAGTTGCAGCCCCCAGGCTTCTGCCTAGCTGCCACTCCTCTCATCACTCCAGCTGCAACAGCAGCCAGTCTCCAGGCTCCCCCTTCCTCCTCCAGCTGCCTCTTTCTACTCCAGCCCAGCCCAGAGAGTGGGGCAGTTGGCAATCCAGGGAGCTGAGGAGAAGCCTGAGGTGCATGGTAGAGTAGGGGGAGGGAGCGGTGCGTGGAATGGGTTGCAGGCACATGGTATAGCTGGGGGCACCAGCATGGATGCATTGTGTAGTGGTGGGGGGATGGGCCATGGACATGCAGTGAACTGGGGAGCAGTTGTGGGCACAAATTCAGGGAGGTGGGGGGCACATGATGCAGTGGGGGGGGAGGGCATTCATGGGGTGTGTGGTCCATGGGGCATGCAACTCCCAGCTACTTAGAAGTTGGATAGCCCTGACCTAAACCTAAAAAATTCATTGTTCCCTACTGTGCGTGTGTTTTTTCAATTGCACAAAAATTCAAAATTTACACAAATTACCAACATTTCAGTAAATACTTGTCAAGTGTTGTTATTTTACCCATGTTGCTAGGTAATAATCACTTCCAATTCACATACTTCAATTCACTTACTATATGTAAAATAGTTGAAAATTGGTCCTGTAAATCCATCTTGTGAAGCTTGGTCTTTCAGAGGAGACAGTAGTGGTTCTAATTCTTCAATTGTGTACAATCCAGGAATCTCGCCTGTATCAGAAACAGTGCAATCTACTTTAATAATGTATTAAGTAATCAAAATATGACTAGTAAAATACCATTAAACTTCCTGTTTGGTGAATTTGGATAACACAGAATCTATCTACATCTGTACAGGACGTTTACCCTCATACTGTCATCAGAACAATAAATCCAGTAGTGTCTGTGATCTCATTTCTATAAAGAACTTGACATTGCTTGCACCACTGAGATACAGTTCAAAGCATCCTGCCACCCTACCCAAACACTATTCACTACAGGATACTCTATAATTCACAAGTCAAAACAGACTCCAAAATGCAGAAAGAGAAGATAGAGTAACAATACAATACCCCTCCAATCTCACATGCAGATACCCTACCCTAGAAAGAAACAAATAAATAAGATCACTTATGTCAGTGGTGCTCAGCCTTTCCAGCACACAAGCTGATCAAGCAGAGCACAGAACTGGATCCAGCCCATGGGGCTGGGCCCACAAACTGACCCCGTGGGTCAAGTTCAGCCATTGTGCTGGACCAAGCTGGTGCTCAAGGCCATGTCATCCAGCCTGTAGGTCTCCCCATGGGTTCAAAAACTTGGCAACAGGAGAGCCCTAGAGCAATTAATACTTCCACTGCTCCCCTGCCATCAAAGACCTGTAGGGAGCCCCACGGGGCAGATGACTCTGCTTCACAGGCCAGATCCAGCCCACAGGCCATAATTTGAACACCACAGACCTATATGACTATGAGACAAAGGCCAGGACAAGCCTAGAAAACTCAGTAGTATAGTGGCCCCCAGATATAGACACTGCCAATCTCACAGAGGAATTTATGGAGCTGTTGCTTAGCTTGGCACAATGATGAAAAACTGTTTGCAGTTTAATACTATTCCCACTAGTAGCTTCTCTCCTTATTATGACAGATGAGTAACATCCCTCATGTGGAGTTCAGAGACTAATCTTTTGCTGGAATTCCAGCCTAATCTTCTTTGCTAGAAGTTCCAGGACTAAGCCCAGCACCACAGCTCAAGCCCTCATTATTCTTCCAAAGCTGCCAAAACACTTCAGTCACAGATAATTTGCATGAAGATAATAATTGTGTGTTTACATTTCCTTTATTAACAAATTAAAAATTTTACTCTAGATTATCTTCTCAACATTTACTACATTATAAGAAAAACATCAGTTTTATTCCTCATTTAATTCTATCTGAAATAGAATTATCAAAATTCGTATCAGAATAAGAAATGTCTTACTGTCACATGTCTTTATCTCATTTATAACAAGTGGAAACTAAGATAATAAATTCTTAGTTATAATAAGTGTTAGAGAAGACAAAATACATCTGCATTGCAACAGAAAAACAATATACAGAAATGTTTCACTTAGACAAAGCAAAATCTTTAAAATGTAAATAATTATTTGGCAACCAACTCAATAGAGCATTCCACAAAAAATGCTTTTGCAGAGTAATGTGAACATTATCAGCAAATTTTTGGCTTCTGAGGCTCAGACCTTTTCTTCCCTCAGTGCCTTACAGCAAGCTCTGAATCCTTCTCTGAATGGTTTTCCAGTTGCCAGACATATCCATTTAAACAAAATTTTAACATCTTGCTTTCAGCAGCTATAAAACCTATAGGCCCTGGCATTTTGGACAGAATGAAATAAACACAATGTGACTGGCATGAATATTGTGTATGCTTGAGATGTCTCTTTGAAGCTATAGCAATATCAATATATTGTACAGCTTTCTAGAGGAATGCTAAAGCCTAGAAAAAATCATGGGGATTCTGTTTCTTGAGAATTGTTGAAAAAAGAACTTATTAGGACAGAAAGGTTTCTAAAGCGAAAAAGAATAGCATCTTTTTTTCTTTCGGACAGCAGCAGATTGTCCAGATTATGCCACATCTTTTCTGTAGGATTATATGACTTTGGGCAGAACAGCATGAGGATATTTTGCTCTGAACCATAAAAAGATGAGTTAACCTTTGGCAAGTAAGTTTTGAAGTCCTTAACAGCACATTGTCATTATGGAAAACATAACAAGGTTCCTGGCTACAGAAACCAGCCTACCCTGACACCTATCTAGCAAGCATGTTAGCTACAAAAAAAACAGTGTTAGTGGCTGGACAGAATGGTATGACTACTGCCCATAGATCAAAGGTTTATGGCTTTAAACCCTTATGTCAAGTCCCATTCAGGAAAACTGGTCTGACCATACCTACAGGCAGTCTGACACCTTTAAGATACCTGAATGATCTGCCAAGAATATGCATATAAGATGCTCTTTATAATAAACAATGGCATATTATGGTGCTAGGATGTAGTCCCTTGTCCATACTGTACAGAATAGAATCAGAGAATCATAGAAAATGAGGGTTGGAAAGGACCTCAGGAGGTCATCTAGTCCAACCCCCGCTATCGGAAATAAGAAAAAACTTCTTTACAGCCCGTGTGTCCAGGGTCTGAAACAAACTCCCCCCAGAGGTGGTGCAAGCACCTACTCTGGACTCATTCAAAGGGCATTTGGATGTTTATCTTGCTGGGATCATGAGCCCAGCAGCAGACTTCCTACCTATGGCAGGGGGGCTAGACTCGATCCTCTCAAGGTCCCTTGCAGCCTCTAATGTCTATGAAATCTATTAAATTAAGGCAAGACCGGCCCCAACTAAATCATCCCAGCCAAGGCTTTGTCTACCTAGATCTTAAAAACTTCCAAAGATGGAAATTCCACAACCTCTTTCAGTAACCTGTTCCATTGCTTTACTACCCTACTAGTGAAAAATGTTTCCCTAATATCTAACCTAAACTTCCCTTGCTCCAACTTGAGACCACTATTCCTTGTTCTGTCATCTGTCACCACTGAGAACAGTCTGGCTCCATCCTCTTTGGAACCATCCTTCAGGTAAAGCTACTATTAAAACCCCCAGTCTAAATAAGCTCAATTCCCTCAGGTTCTACTCATAAATCATGTCCCCAGCCCACTAATCATTTCTGCTGCCCTGTGCTGGACAGTCTTCAATTTGTCCACAAGCTTTCTGTACTGGGGGAACCAAAACTGGACACAGTACTCCAGCTGTGGCCTCACCAGTGCCAAATAGAGGGGAATAATCATTTCCCTCGACCTGCTGGCAACATTTCTACCAATGCAGCCCAGTATGCTATTAACCTTCTTGGCAACATGGGCACACTGCTGGCTCATACTCAGCCTATTGTCCACTGTAACCTCCAGGTCCTCTTCTGCAGAGCTACCTGCTTAGCCAGTTGGACCCCAGCCTGTACAGTTGCATGGGATTTTGCACTTGTCCTCCTTGAACTTAAAGAGATTTTTTTGGGTCTATTCCTCCCATTACTCTACGGCCCTCTGACTCCTAGCCCTACCCTCCACCATATTTACTACTGCCTGCAGCATGGTGTCATCCACATAGCTAGGATAGTAAAGCCTTGAATGAAGTGGTGTATGTTGTTTATAATAAAAGGACATACACTTTGCTCTCTGAAACTCCTGAAAATATGCCTATTGCGTTTCTTGGACTAGGTACTTTGCAGAGGATCTCTGCTGCTATGGTGAGGGGAAAATGTAACCTACTTAAGAGTAGCTTGAGAGATTAGACCTTCAATCCTGCAGTGATTCCTTAGGTCAAGATGGCAAACACAGATCAAAAAAAAAAAATCAAAGGTATAAATTAAAGTGCTTGTGACAAACTGAACCATCAGCTGGTCTCCTCTAGAGGTAGGAATTCTGATGTTCTGCATTGAATGGTAAAGCTTAATCCAAGAGTTGATAGCAACAGCAGTGAACCACCTCCAGATTCCACATGTAATAGGCCTGTGTAAATAGGGAAGTATTCGATTCAGATTTGGATTCGGCCAATTTGAAGGACAGTGATTCAATTCAGGGATTTGCATCTGTGCTGAATTGATTTGGCTGAATCAGGTTTGGAAGATTTGGCGCTGATTCGAAGAGATTCGGTGATTCGGATCAACTGGGGAGAGGCAAGCATAACTGGGTGGCTGGAGGTTCTCCCACGGCTCCTCCAGCTGTGCCTACCTCTCCCTGGGAGGGGGAAACCATGGGAGAAGCCTCTATAGCTGCCCTGCCCAGCTCCAGCCCCAAAGGGCAGGAAGTCAGCTGGGGTCATAGGATCCCAGCAAGATAAGCATCCAGTTTCATCTTGAAGGTGTTCAATGTAGGCGCTTGAACCACCTCCGGTGGCAGGCTGTTCCAGATCTTGGGGGCTCGGACAGTAAAGAAGTTCTTCCTTATGTCCAGCCTGAAACGATCTTGAAGTAGTTTGTGACCATTCGACCTCATCATCCCTTGGGGCGCTCTGGTGAACAAACGTTCCCCCAGATACTGGTGGTCACCCCTTCGACCTAGTCGTCATCCCTTGGGGCGCTCTGGTGAACAAACATTCCCCCAGATACTGGTAGTCAACCCTGATAAACTTATAGGTGGCCATCAGATCACCCCTGAGCCTGCGCTTTTCCAGAAAGAGCCCCAGGGCTCTCAGCCTCCTGTCATCGTAGGGTCTGCTTCCCTGACCTCTGATCATGCACGTGGCTCTTCTCTGGACTCTCTCAAGCTTCTCCACATCCTTTTTGAATTGTGGAGCCCAAAACTGGACACAGTACTCCAGCTCCGGCCTCACTAAGGCCGAGTACAGGGGGAGAATGACGTCCCGGGATTTGCTTGAGAAGCATCTATGGATGCAAGCCAGCGTTTTGGTCACTTTACTAGCCGCCGCATTGCATTGCAGGCTCATGTTCATCTTGTGGTCAATGATGACCCCCAAGTCTCTTTCTTCCATAGTGCTAGCCAACATAGCACTGCTGAGCCTATAAGGATGCGGTGGGTTTTTTTCCCCCCAAGGTGGAGAACCTTGCATTTATCGGCGTTGAACACCATCAGATTCTCGTCCGCCCACTTGCTGAGCCTGTCCAGGTCAGCCTGGATAACCTGCCTGTCTTCTGGTGTGGATGCTTTGCCCCAAAGTTTGGTGTCATCGGCGAACTTGGCCAGTCCGCTTCTGACTCCAGTGTCCACATCATTAATGAAGATGTTGAACAGTATGGGTCCAAGGACAGAGCCTTGGGGGACCCCACTGGTCACAGGACACCACGATGAGTGACTTCCATCGATTACTACCCTCTGGGTCCGACCACGGAGCCAGTTTTTCAGCCAGTGGATCGTGGTGGACCCAAGGTGACAACTGGCCAGTTTCACCAAGAGGTGATCATGGGATACCAGATCGAAGGCTTTTTTGAAGTCAAGATATATGACATCAATCTCTTCTCCCTTGTCCAGGTGATAGGTCACCTGGTCGTAGAAGGAAATGAGATTGGTCAAGCAAGACCTACCCGCAACAAACCCGTGCTGGCTATCCCTTAAGATGTTGGCGTCGGCCAGTCCATTAAGGATGGCCTCTTTAATAAACTTTTCTAAGATCTTCCCCGGGATAGAAGTCAGGCTGATGGGCCTATAGTTAGCCGGATCCACTTTCCTCCCTTTCTTGAAGATAGGCACCACATTGGCCTTCTTCCAGTCTTCGGGCACTACACCAGAGCGCCAAGAGTTTTCAAAGATCCGTGCTAGAGGCTGGGCTATGATGCTCGCCAGCTCCTTGAGTACCCTGGGGTGAAGATTGTCAGGGCCAGCTGACTTGAAGGTATCCAGCTTCTCAAGATGTTCCTTCAGAAAGTCAGCATTAATGGAGGGCAGGGGATCACCCTCACCCGGACTTCCCGGCCCTGTAGCGGGCATGGGCGTCCCATGGGACTGATGAAAGACTGACGCAAAGTACCTATTTAATAGGTTAAAAGTATCCTCCTATTTTCTACTCTTCAGAAGAATAATAGTCCAAACCATCTCAAACCTCAAAGAAAAAATTGTGGTTGGTTTCAGTGTTGCTGGGAATCTGAGCATGTTCTGCCATGAATCTACTACTGATAGTTACAGCAGTGCTGGTATCCACTCAGAAAATGGTTTCTTTTCCCCCTCCAAACTGTGCAAGCATTTCTGGAAAACTAAAGTGATGCCATCAAATGCATGCACTGAAGTCAATTAAGAGATGTCAGAAAACTTGAAATTAGACTCAGGAGATAAAATGTTGGGCTGCCTCAGCCTCAGGTTTGCTGGTCATTACATTTTCCTCAGCATATTTGCCAAAACTCAGACTTTCCCAGAACTAAGTACAGATTTGGCCAAGGTTGGTTCTCCACCTCTTTATCATTACCTGAAAGAGAAAAAAGCCAAATACACAGAACTATGGGTTTGGTTTTGGAGTAGTGCAAAAAGTGCTTTTATAATTAAACGTTAGTGCATGAAGGTCTTTTTCATTTCTGACCGCAAATCTAAGTTTGAACAAGACCAGCCATGATGCTGTCACAATTTCATCAACCATAATGAGGAGGTATGTTTCCAGGAGATAAACAAGAGTGAAATTACTTTCCTCAAAATTAAATTAGGGTTGCTCTAGTTTATTCATAGAAGAAGGCAGTTATTGGACCACTTCACTAATGGGAAACTACATGATCCCTCCTGTACAGGGTATAGCCATCTATACCCGTGGTCCAGTCATGGGTGGAGTCCCACCAGGTCTCCATTATCCCTATGACATCATCATTATTTGCACTGAGCAGGAGGATGAGCTCCTCCTGCTTATTCCCCAAGCTCCTGGCATTTGTGTACAGGCAGGCAAGTGTCCCCTGGGGGGCCCCCTCCTTGCCCACAGATTTTACCAAACCTG